GCGCATCTGCGGGCAGCTAAGCGTTGTTGCGGAACGCCGGAGAATCTCTCTCTGGTTGCGTGAGAGACGGAGCAACTCACACTCTGCAGCCGCTTCTTGTTCACACACAGCTTCAGCTAATGATGGCAGGGCAAAACAGACCATTTTGAAAGAGTAATTACGTTTTACCCTACTAGAATTGATGCGACCGTTCTTATCATATTCATAAGTGCAACAAGTCATTTCCATGTGAAAGTAGAAACACGTGCAATTCAGACGAAACTTCTGGGCTGATTATAACGTGCACGTTAACTTTCCTCATGAAATGTGTGTGTAGGTCCGACAATAGCCTCCACGATGTCATCGCTCGTGAGCTGCAGGCTGTTTAATATGAGTAAACTTTATTTTTATCACTTAGATTACGGCCAATTGAATTATAGCAGTGGCCAGTGTTTCCCATACATTAATTTATTTGTGGCGGCTCGTCACAATATCAAAACTGACCGCCACAAATAGATTTCCCAAAAGGCTTATACTTGCTTGAATAAACTGAGAGCTGCATGTTTCAAAATTAAAATGCAGCGCTGGTGTTTTTATATGAATGTATCTTTGAAAAGAACCGACCATTTTCAGAAAAGCTTCGATGTAATTTTGTCTCTCCTGTAATGCCTGATAGAGTAGCGTTTGTGATCTGTCAAAGTCTACGATCAAGAGAAGACTTCACCAGAGCAAATACAGAGGCTTCACCACAAGCTGCAAACAAGGCCAGATTAGACTTTGCCAAAAAACATCTAAAACAGCCAGAGCACTCTTTGGACGGCTGGAATTAAGATCAAGCTGTACCAGAATGATGGGAAGAAAGAAGTCTGGAGAAGGCTTGGAACAGTTCATGATCAAAGCACACACATCATCTGTGAAACATGGAGCAGTGTGATGCATGAGCTGCATGGCTTCAGTGGCTCTGAGTTACTGGTGTTTAGTGATGATGAGACAGAAGCAGCCGGATGAACTCTGAAGAGTACAGAGATATACTCTCTGCCCAGATTCAGCCAAACGCAGCAAAGCTGATTGAGCGGTGCTTCATAGTACAAATGACCAATGACCCAAAATATACAGCAAAAGCCACCCAGGAGTTCCTGAAGGTAAAACAATGGATTATTCTGCAATGGCAGAGTCAGTCTCCTGATCTCAACCCGACTGAGTTGGATTTCACTCGCTGAAGACAAAACTAAAGACAGAAAGAGCCACAAACACACATCAACTGAAGTCAGCTGCAGTAAAGGCCTGGCAAAGCATCACAAAAGAGAAACCCAGTCTCTGCTGATGTTCATAGCTGTGTTTCCACTGTCGGGTCAGAAGCGGGCATGCTAGTGCGTGCCAGGGCCACTTCAGCGGGGCTTCCTCGGGGCCAATGGCTGGGATTTCACTTCAGCGGGGCTTCCTCGGGGCCAGCGGCTGGGATTTTACTTCAGCGGGGCTTCCTCGGGGCCAGCGGCTGGGATTTTACTTCAGCGGGGCTTCCTCGGGGCCAGCGGCTGGGATTTTACTTCAGCGGGGCTTCCTCGGGGCCAGCGGCTGGGATTTTACTTCAGCGGGGCTTCCTCGGGGCCAGCGGCTGGGATTTTACTTCAGCGGGGCTTCCTCGGGGCCAGCGGCTGGGATTTTACTTCAGCGGGGCTTCCTCGGGGCCAGCGGCTGGGATTTTACTTCAGCGGGGCTTCCTCGGGGCCAGCGGCTGGGATTTTACTTCAGCGGGGCTTCCTCGGGGCCAGCGGCTGGGATTTTACTTCAGCGGGGCTTCCTCGGGGCCAGCGGCTGGGATTTTACTTCAGCGGGGCTTCCTCGGGGCCAGCGGCTGGGATTTTACTTCAGCGGGGCTTCCTCGGGGCCAGCGGCTGGGATTTTACTTCAGCGGGGCTTCCTC